GCTGGACAAATTCGGCCCGATAACGACGGTCCTCCTCGCCGATTGCGAGGGACGTATCGCGCCTCTCGTCGGGCTTGACGTATCGACGCAAGGCATTCATTACTCGCCGGACGGGGGGTGATAAACCGGCGAAATTGCACCAATTTCCGGCGATCTTAAGCTGAAGCGAAACCCCATTCTAACGAGACATTTTTTTTTAAGGGTGTTAAGACCGATCGACCCTTGTCACCGAATCGCGTCGCCGTTAATCGTATTGATATAAAAATTATCCCAGTTTAAAAATCTGAACGTTTTTTAACTTAGCCCAGACAGGACTCAAAATGGCGGCGAGATCTCTCGCATCGAGGTCGATGGGATTTCTTGACGGGTTTTGCTTCACCTTAAATTATCCCCGCAGTTCAGTTTTGAACACTTAGGCGCGGATGTCCACCGGGAGGCCGGCCGAGGTGTGAGTGCATGCATTTATGCATGTATCTCGAACCGCAGCCCCCGTAAATCAACCCAGACTCTCCCTGGCTGTTTCGCGAAGTCGCGCTGGTTGATTTTCCAAAATTAATTCCACCTCGAATGGCGTTTCGCCAGGCTTCGGGCCCGACGACCTGTCTTCGCGGTTTCGGCCAATCCGTCGCGTCAGCGCCCGATTGACAGTGACACCGAGCCCCCACCGCAGTCGGCAAACGCGAAACCAATTTCCAATTCCCGATTACTGATCCCGACTTCCGACTCCCCGAGCGGGAATAATCCGCTTTTCCCCAGGCAAAGGCGCGACGGATTTCGAGGACCTCCGAAGTAACCACCCTCTTCGAGGGGAGCGCCAGGATGCGTTTCGCCCTTTCCGGCTCCGCCGCATAAATGGCGCCCGGATACCCCGAACGACGTTTTGTCGACCCCCGGGATTCGGGTGTCCCCGAAAACCGAGCACTCCGCTTCGATTTGAGCGCCGGCGCGAGTTTCCAGGATCTGCCCATCCGGAGATATGAATTTTCGAAATCGACTCCGCGTACCAAAAGCTGTCTTTGGGAACTCGCAATTTCAGATGAAAAAATTCACGGGCTGACTTCGGCCTAATTCCGATAAAAATAATTATCTCGGGGAAAAATAATTAACTTCCCTGGCAAAAATTCGCGACAATATACGAAACCGTGGGGCGATTTTAAACTCGCGCCGGAGAGAAACCAGTCTCCTGGGGGAACCGTGAATATTTGACAACATGTTTCCCAGGGCGACCATAAGGACGAGAACTACCGCAGGAATGGCCATGGTGGACACCCTACGGATTTACCACCCACCGCGGTATTATGTATCTTAAACCTGGCATTTTCGCCTTTCACAAATTCCGCCAGCCCTGCGACCGAGATATCAATGGACGCGAATTTTCATCAGGTTGCAATAATCAACCGGATTAATCCCTGCCGCGCATGCAAGTAATCACCAAACACGGTCCCGCAAATCCCCGAAAACAATAAATCGGTAAACGAGACCCACCGATAGAGATTACTCTCGACGGTCGAGCGGGTTCGAATTAATAAATAAAATATAATATAATAACGACAACGATCTCGGTCTCGATTCCGGTAAGGAATACTTCGCAGGGTCAGGCGATAAGGTGAGATTTCCGGGACATCCTCGAAATAGCGGGAGGGTCTTCTAAGGGAAATTAGCCAACTTGAGACAGTAGCGGAATGTAACAGCCCCAGATATCAGAGCGGAGGGCTAAGCTGTTATGTGTTCTCCCCGGTATGGCGAGGCGGGCCGCAACTTCGAAAGTCACCCCCGGATTTACATCGGGCAAACCCATTGCGAGATTATCGCACCTCCCGGGGGCAGGAATTCGGCCCAGAAGGCAGCCAACTCGGCAACTTCCGGCCGCCGATTGACCGTGGAGAAAATTAGCAACTTCGGGCTGGCCAACTTGCCCGCAACTTGGCCCTCCGGCCGATAGTCCATTGTGGTTCCTGGAGTCGATCAGTGGCCCACATTCGGACAAGCCGCGGAACATTCCCCGAGACATTTGCATGACAATCGGCTCGTCCATCCGCCTATCGGCTCCGTCGCCGATTCCGCGGAATCAAAACCCGGAAGATAAAGCCGCCCTTAGACCTCGGGGTAGTGGAAAAAACAATCCTCGAGATCCACTCCCGACGGCGGACCTTGCGGTCTAGCCACGGGGCGGAAAGTAAGCGCGGTAATCTCCCCGGGATCCCCGGTATTAAAAGGATGGAAATTGTACGGAATAACGGAACGGCGGGACATCAAAGGGCCCGCCGACTCCGGAAGTAAACGACCCCGGTAACGTCGCGTTAAAACCGGGGACCTAATTGCATTCGTTCCCTGCACTAATATCGCGTTAGGCGGGCAACGGCGTCTCCGTTTAAGGTTCGCCCGACTTAACGACGTAACGTCGGCCAAGGTGCATCTAATGCCCTCCCGCCCCTGCACCCCGAGGATGCACCCGAAGATCGGCCCTCGTGGCTGCTGCCCCCGGATGAGGATCCGCGAAATTCTACGAAATTCCGCCAAATCGTAGAAAATGCTGACCCAGGGAAAAATTAACCAACGAGGAGGAAGATGCGATGGAATAAGGGAAGAAGGTCGAAGAGCGCCCGACGTCCAGGGGTGAAGACGTGGTCGGGGGTGTTTTCGTTCGCGGGTCGCCCGATTCCTCCTCCGCATAAATCTCCGGATGAAATATAACGTAAAAATGCGAGGCGGGGGCGTCCTCCTCTGGGAATACGTCTTCCCGGGTTAAAGGACAGCCCGGAACTCCTCGGGCCGTTTAGGGAGACGCTCTTCGAGATCTCGATCGCATCGGCGATATCGTTCCGAGATGAATCCTGGCCAGCATCTTCTCTTGAACGTGTCCTCTTCGGGGACTCCGAGAAAAATATATATCTTCTCGTGGCGGGTCGTCCAAAAATCGGGGACGGGGTCGCTCGTCGCATAAAGATTCTTAATCAATCCCCCGAGGCATTAAGGCGCCCGATAATGACTTCTTCCATCGCGAATCGAGGCGATATTTCATTCGACCGTTTCATCAGCCCTGGTCGTTGGGACGAAAGCGGGAACTTTACGTCGAGTCGTTCGGTCCTCTTTACGATCGGAATGTGTTCCCGTCTGATGGATGCAAATTACACGTACTTTCGGAGTTAACGCCGCTCGCTTCTGAACGCCCTTAAATAACCCGCGAGACCCATGATAAATCCCCGAAGGGTCCCTTCGAAGCCCGCCAGCGCTAGAATTAAATCTAATCCCGATTAAAACTCAAGAGCCCAACTTTTCCCGGGAATAACGATAATTGTCGAGGGCGTCGCGGGCGGAGTATTTGACGGTCGCCTAATTTATTACCGCCGGTACTAATTTTCCCGAGGCGAGCTAATATCGGGCCGAAGCGAGCCCGAATGGCGGGAGCGCCGAGCAAGAGTCATCAACTTCTAACACTCCGCCGTGATTTATCTTCGGCGCAATAAAAAGCGCCTCGCCCCGCCGCAGCAGCTCGCCCATATACTCGGTATATGATGCATAGTGTTAATAACGCCCTCGTCCTGCCTTCCGGTCGCCGATATAAGCGTGGCTTTTAATATCCCTCGTTCTCGCCGATTATTCATGCGACAGCTCGCGAGCCGGATTTTGTCGATGCGAAAAAACACTTCGGCGTCCGAAACAACCAGAGATCGTTAATACCGAGAGGTCGTTTACTCGGAAATCGTTTCCACCAATTTCCTTCCTTAAGAACCGATTGCCTTTGATTTGATATGATGATGAACAACAATGCGATTCGATTAAAATTCTGACAACGTTTTAGGCAATTTTCAACGATCTCCAGTGATTTCCACGTGTCTCCACGTTTAATTTCTTATCATAAACAAGCTATGTCAGTCGCCCTATCATTTATTCTCTGGTTCACAAGGCTAAAAGGAACGTCCAAAATGGTGAAACTTCCTTAAAATGTATAAAATATGTACAATTCGAGGAGGGCGGCTTGTCGTCGCGGCTCCAGGAAATTTCATAAGTCGGATATAAATGTAAACTCGTTGAAATGATTATTTCAGACCAGCTCGATTCAATTAGAGGTGCGCCTCAATCCCATCGACCCCGAGGGCTAATCGATTCATTCGAGCTAAATCGAATACTCGACAGAGAAATGGGGAAAAAACCGGGAGAGAGGTACGGAGCGATATTCCCAATAATAGTAATAAAAAAAAAGTCGTCCGATTAAAGACCTCTTAAGCGCGCTCTTAAATTAATATCTCGAATCTTGTCGGAGTCTGGAGGGTCCAGGAGGAACTCCGACGTCGCTTTAGCCGAAAAGTTACTAAATAAGTTAAAACAGGGGCGAATTATAGACTTATCGGCGGAGTTTGACGAGGACCGTTTAAATGGGTCGACACGCAGTCTCTTAACATGTTACGGAGACATTACAATGGAACTCTCCCTTGATGAGAGTATTAACCCGAAGCAAGGGTGAGGAAGAGACGGAAACGCGCGACACGCTCTTCGCCCTTGCAAATAGCCTCGTCTTTATCGCCTTGACATACTTGTAACCCGTGCACTTCGCCTGCATTCCCAGGTTCAAAGATACACCCTGGCGATTATAGCGACGATGCAGCACCTCCGTTACGGCAACCACGGCGACTGCACTAGGCTCTGTCTCTCTCTCTCTAGGAGACCGGGAGTAGTCGAGAATTGCAGGCCTCATAGATGTTCCTTTAGTCCCCCGGGCCAAGCCGACCGATGAATTAGGATACTGACTCGCGACCTCGATCTCGGGTCTTGAGCAAATTTGGACACTCCCTCTGTTTCGGCCCCGGGCGATGTCGAGGCGTCTCGAGAGGAGATTTCGAGGGTGTTTGCTCGCCACTACGTCAAGCCTTCCACTATACATACAAGGGTGTGCACCAAGAATAATTGCGAGTGTACGTAGTCAACTTAGTAGACGTAGAACTTTGAAAAAATATCTCCCACACCTGAGCATATAATTGCTGCTATCGAACGATTAATTATTACTTATGTTACTAAATCCCTTTATTCGCTTAAGGTACAAAGTCTTATAGCTAGGTGTTGCACCTAATGATGCGCGGCTGCCTTTCTCATTTGGACAAGAATGTTTCCAAGTTCCTCGCGCTTCCTCTTAGCGCGGATGTGAGTACCCAGCTAATAATAAAAGTATAGAAATACACGTTAGATAAGACGACGCTTGTGAATTAAATAGTACATATATCTGGTCATACAATATCGGTATACCTTAAGTATAAGGATATAATAATTTCTATTTGCTTCACTCTATTAATTATACACTTCCATCGTAACGTTCATTGCTAGCACCTTATTATTTAACACTTCAACTTTCACTAGGACATACCACAATTAAACCACATAAAAAAAACTAAAAATTAACTTACCCTCCTCTTTAAGAACTTAAGAGCACGCTTATCCTTGGAAACCTTAAGCAACTCCATGGCTCGCTTTTCGTACGGGGCATGGCCGGTTACCTCGCGGATCAAGTCACGAACGAACTTGGTGTGTTTCGTCTGACGCTAAAATCATGATACGACATACATAAAATTTAAACCCAACGACGATCTTGCATTTCAATTCTGACATCTCACATGGTATTCGTTCTGATTACACATAACCTCATTCAATGACGGCATTATTAACAATAATAGCATAGGATTAAACTTACGCCCTTCAGTCTGGCTGGCCGGACAACGACAGTTTTTTCCCTTTCTGACTTATTCTTCGCCACTCTGATTTTGGAAGTCTTGTGGCCTTTGTTGAGGCCTACAGCCAACTCGTACCTTGGTGCCATCCTGCTGGAACATTACACAGAATGTAGGTTAGGTCAACCGTACGATCAACTAACGGATGCTGCATTTTCAACCATTAATATGAATCGGATCAAGTTGTGGTAATATCCAATATTTCACATTAATGCGTTAAAAATATTAACTATAAAAGATGTTCCAAATATTTCCGGATTACTTTTCGTAGATACCTTCCTACAGAAACGGTTCACTTCAAGAGAGGAACGTTTACACGCGCAACCTGCGTATGCACACTGACCCCAAGTATACACGTTCATAGAGGTACCCTCTGTGACCGATACTGAGGCGTATACTTAGTTCGGAGTAAGTGGCGCAGTTTACTACAAATGCAGAACGCAATAATTTGAAAATGTAATATATTTTTTAATTATTCATACTTGTGTAAAATACTATATAAATGAACATAAAATAAAATGAAATGAAGATTGATTTGAAGTATTTTATTTTCCTATACAAAATTCCTTAAATATAATATCTAAAATTTGTTCCGTACTCACATGACCTGTAACCTTTCCAAGTTCTCTCATCGCATTACGAATTTCTTGAGTAGCTATTACAATATCATAATTTTCTCGAGCAATGATGGTAAAATATCTACAAAGATGTTCTAAACAATTTGTCAAATGATTTCTGTGTCTAGTCTGACTGATCGTAGGGTGTTCTCTAGAAGGATTACCGCATCTGAAAATTAAGACATTGTTCAGAAAAGTATATAAAGCGAGACAAAAAATATTCACTGTTAAATGTAATGCTAACATCTCTTTAAAATAATTTGTAGCAGATTCCAAAAATTTGTCGAAGCCTTCTTCCTGAACACAAGAAATTCCTATTATGCCAGACTTTCTCAAACGTTCGTTAGTCTCTTCGTTGAGTAGATCAGTCTTATTCATAATTACGAGACAGTGTTTTTGTAATCTTCCACTATCCAGTAAAATATCTTCTAACTCTAATTTATTTATATAAGTATTAAGATATTCTTCATATGTCTTCTTGCTTTCCAAATAAGCAAGTGCATTGATCATTAGAATAATAAAGTCAGCTTTTTCCGCATAAGCCTTAGCTCTGCGAACCCCCTCTTTTTCAATAATATCTTTTGACTTCTTAATGATACCTGCCGTGTCTGCTAATATAATTGGATAGCCAGAGATGTCAGTAGACAATTCAACAATATCTCTTGTAGTACCAGCAATTGGCGAAACAATTGCCGCATTTCTTTGTACTAAATAATTCAGTAAACTACTTTTTCCGACATTTGGCTCTCCAATAATTACAGTTCTCACACCATTACGCAGAATTTCGCCCTTTCTCCCATCTGCAAGGTGATTCTTAATCTGCCTCATAAGATTGTTTAGTTGATTATTGCACTTTTCTAAAACATCGCCTTCGATGTTTTCTTCCTCACTGAAGTCTATGAAAGCTTCCAAATGAGCAACACATCGAGAAAGGATATCTTTCCACTTGTTGTACAGTGTGCTGAGATTGCCGTCAGCCTGCAACAAAGCTTGTTTTCTTTGCTGTTCGGTTTCCGCATGAATTAAATCTGCTAAGCCCTCGATTTCTACTAAATCTAACTTATTGTTAAAAAAGGCCCGTTTTGTGAACTCTCCAGGTAATGCATGACGAAATTTCAATTTTGATAAAGCAGTTAATAGAGCACTAAGTACAGCAGGACCTCCGTGAACTTGAAATTCCACACTGTCTTCGCCAGTAAAGGAATTGGGTCCTACAATCAATGAAAAAGATACAAACACCATAGTGTTCACTATTTGTTATTATACTCCAACATGAACCACTTCCTTAGACACCATATCCTATTTTATAAAATACCTGGAAACCATAAGCATAACCCTTTGTCTATAACTTCCCCATTGTCAGGATCTCGTATACTACGCAGATATGCTCTCCTTGGTTCTGGCTGACATATTTTTGTCATTTTCTGCATTGCCTCCAATGACCGACTGCCCGATATCCTTACTACTGCGACTCCACATTTTCCTTGCCCTTAACAAATGTAACTAATTACAATTATTACAATCTTCATGCTCACTCCTACCGTCTTTAAACAACAAACATTAGAACTAGTCAATACCTGAGGACAAGGCGTAGATGGTCGAGTATCCTGTTAAAGACGTACCAAATATCCTACTTGTTGTTATCGACTGTCTTAAATGTTCAGAATAAAAAGTCTTAACACTTTCAATTGTAACTCTCCTCAGTATCATCATTACATGCATTTACACAAGTACGAGTTTAATAAGTCAATCCTTCCTGCTACTACACTGCTAATACAATTTTTTTCCTACTTACTCCTACTACGTGCTAACCTAAGAAAATTAAATATTGTTTACACACTCATCCCTGACTAACGTTTATTTTTATTTTGAAAACTTTGCGTCTTTTTAACTGTTTGGAAATATAATTTGTGTATTAAATGAGGTATAAATTTAGAAAAAGACGTGAATATTTATCCCCTTTCAAAGACCTACCGGGCATCCCGCCAGTAGTGGCCACTAAGCGTCAACAGAGTCGCGTGTCTACTGTGCGGTGTCAAGAGACTCAATCGAAATTTTGTCAAGCTCTATCCCGATCAATTTTGATTATTTCCCTCAACCTATACATTCTGTAGAAAATATAGTTTCTCGTTGCCTTCCAACCGTCTAGTGCTGCGCACAGAAAATGAAGGAAAACGCGCCAAGAAATGAGAGGAACGGGTACGTACGTAGGTGTAATTATAAATATCCTGGCCAGGTAAAACCTAAGATCAGAAAATTATCGTTTACGTCGTTCCATTTTTCACCTGCTGGTCTGTAGTCAATGAATTTCCCTGTTAAAGGTGACTAGTATCTCGCTGTGCACAAAATAACGAAACAGCGAACGACTGGCACTGTTGGACATGTTGATAAGGAAGAAGAAATCGTGTCCGAGATATCCGAGGAAAATGACTCGAATTATTGGACAATAATGTTCAGACTTTGGTAATATGCAAGTGATAACATTTCTAGAATGATAAATAAGGGACCCATTTATTTGTGGACTACAATCCTGGCTGATTCTTGTGCTAATACCTGTTGGAAGCTGCATCCATTTTTATTGCGAAAAAGAGCGCCAATTTTGATCAGCTGGATCGATTGTATTAAATACGAGAAGTTAGATATATGTGGTAAGAAATTAATTTCAACAGTTAGAGAGGCTTTACAAAGGAATTGTATAAACGTAGGAGCTCAAATGTTGGGTGCTCAAATGGCTCGGTCTTTTACAGAGAAATAAAATTGTGGTTACTTTCACGGAATGGCAGACGCAGTGAAAAAATTAATTACAAGTCAAGAAGTGCAAGAAAGGTGCAGCGATTGGGTAGAATCCCAAAAGGATGTTCTGTACTTTGAGGACAATACTGCAAAGAGGAAATTGGAAAATGAACGAGATGAGTTCATTGAAACAGATTCAGAGTTTGATTCTGTCTCGGAATGTGGAGCCAAAAGACGCAGGCTAGCTAAACAGATGAAAGCCGAAGTTTTGCTTTTACTGTGCGAGTGGAAAAATTGTGACTTCAGTATTAACTCCATGGGAATATTTGTTAAACATGTAGCTAATCACGTACCCCAGTTAGAAGTTAAAATAACAGAGGATGAAAAGTCGGTGTACCTATGCCAATGGAAGGGCTGTACTTACGAGAGTGGTATAAACGATGACATTATTCGACATGTTAATTATCATGCCTATCACACAAAACTAAAATGTATTGGCTCTAACATTAGGGGAAGAGTGAAGTTACCCGTAAGAAATATACATAAGACATTAATAACAAAATAAAATTATATTTAATATATATAAATATTTTTAATATATTTTTTTAGAAATGCTACCGAAATTCTAACTGGAAAAATGTCATTGAAATACCATCCGCTCACATTTGTCAATGGGAGGAATGTTTAAAGACTTTCACGAATTACCAAATATATTTATATCATGTCAATGCACATATAGAAACTCATCCACAGGGCAATAAAATTGAAGGAGGTGTAAAATGTAAATGGACTGGTTGTATTGGAGTATATTCCAGCTTGTACAAACTTAGAGAGCATCTAAGATGTCATACTAAGGAGAAAGTAGTGGCATGTCCGGATTGTGGAGTAATGTTCGCTTCAAACACAAAATTTCATGATCATTGTAAAAGACAAATTCCAGTGGATGGTACAGATAACACTGCTTTGAATAAATTAAATCATTTTAAAAAATGCATTAATAGAGTAATGTATATGTTTTATTTTCAGTTCAAGGGTTTCAGTGCTCGCACTGCAACAAATTTTACCCAACGGAAGGTATTCTGCGGGACCATATGAGACTTCATATATTTAATTACAAATGCCTATTCTGTGACATGAGTTGTGAAACACCGTCAAGTCTAGCCAAACATATTCGGTATCGACATGTAACAACTAGATCATTTCCCTGCCAACTGTGTTCACATGCTGCCAAATCGCAGCAAGATCTGGACACTCACATGACCGTGCATACAAGTGGTCCTAACTTTGTGTGCCATTTCGAAGGCTGTTCTTACACCTGTAAAGGTGCTTACATTTTAGATAGGTACTGTGAGACACATATCATGTCATAACTATACTAATGAAAAAATCTACCGATACAATTTTTTATGGATCAATTTTTTGCAGACATATAGAAAGAGCTCATTGCTTAGAAATTCGATGGTACTGTTGTCACGAGTGTCCCATAAAATATCGAAAAAGTTACAGGCTCACGAAGCACCTCAAAGAGGCCCATCATTTACAGTTGCCCAATGGGCATAAACGATTTCAGTATACGCGAGATGACGATGGGTGTTACAGACTTCAAATGGTCCGATATGAAAGCATCGATGAAGATGGTAATGCACCTCAGGACTATCTAAAGCCTCCAGATACGAAGTACAAAATAGAGGTGAATCACACGGCACAATATCCTGAACTTAAGGTAAATTTGTATAATGTTTAATGTTAAGTAAGAAGTATGTGGATTTCGTTTATTCTTTACTTAATTTAATTAATTGCTGATTTTTTAATTAGGTTGTCGAAGACAAGGGAGGTACAAACTTGAATGAATCTGAAACTGAAGCAGGTGCTCAATGCGACACGGCACAGTGCGATGGAAAGTCAATGCCTATTATTTCGAACATCTTAATATCCATCGATGAATTAGATGCAGATGGAAATATCATTGAGAGCAAAATTGTCGAAACTCAAGAAACAAACGAATTACCACCATCGGATGAACCACCCATCATATTGACATAAAATTTACACCAAATATTATCTTATCCAAAGTGATCAATCTATTTTCTTAACAGTGTAAATAATAAAAAAATTACGGTTAAGATAATATTTTTTGAATAGGATTTATTAAATGTATTACCTTCAATTTCTTGTTAAATGCAGCTGTCATTTGGAGATTTGAACATACGCGCGTAAAGTAGTGCTTCAGAGCGCCATCTCAATCTGCGCGCATCTGTGCGCTAAAACGTGACGTCTTTTCCTGTAACGTCGCTTTCTGAAAAGGTACGATGCCGAGCGTGTGATTATTCGAATCGGTTCGCATCCTTTCGATAATTAAGTTTCTCAAGAAATCCATTCGTAAATGTTAAAGATGCAAGTTTTATTTACATTTTCAAAGCGATGTATGAAACCCGAAATGTCAGAAAAGAGAGAGTTACGCAGAAGAACTCGCGTGACAGCGGCTCCCGAAGTGCTTCCGCTGCTACGACCATACTGTCCATAAACTTAAATCGATCTTATTTCTTGATTCCAGAACGCGATGGGACGTTACTCTCATGAACCGAGCAATGCGACGAAGTCGTGCAAGGCGCGTGGTTCCAATCTACGCGTGCACTTCAAAGTAAGTAAAGAAATGTTATAACGGGCATAACCTAACCTCATCTCAACATCTGCAACTTGTGCATCATATTTCTCTTTGTTATTATTAAATATAGATTGAATATTTTTCAGAACACTCATGAGACAGCGCGTGCGATCAAAAGCATGACTCTCCGAAGGGCACAGAAGTACCTGAAGAATGTAATCGAATACAAGGAATGTGTTCCTTTCCGCAGATTTAACGGAGGTGTGGGAAGGTGTGCTCAAGCAAAACAGTTTGGCACAACTCAAGGTATGTGAAAAGACAGAGGCAAATTTTTTTCTATTTTTATGGCACTATTTTTAATGGCTAATATATTTGTATAGGACGTTGGCCAAAAAAGTCTGCCGAGTTTTTACTGCAACTTTTGAAAAATGGAGAGAGTAACGCCGACTACAAAGGACTAGATGTAGACCGACTAGTAATTGATCACATCCAAGTAAATCATGCTCCTTGTCTTCGTAGGAGAACATACAGGGCTCACGGTCGCATCAATCGTAAGTTTCAACTACAATCTTCATAAAATAATTCTCATAATTTCTGCTGTCCTTATTATTTAATGAGCTATGATAATATTTATTTATTCATTAATCTTTACAGCTTACATGAGCTCACCGTGCCACATTGAGGTTATATTAACCGAAAAGGAAGACGTGGTGACGAAAGCCACGGAAGAAGAACCATCTAAAAAGAAACTCAGTAAGAAGAAGCTGGCTCGTCAGAAAGAGAAGATGATGAGGGAATAATTCTGTGATTCATCTTCAGATACTACGAGATCAGCTGTACACTTAAGAAATAAAGTTTACATTGTTCTCAAAAAGGGTACTCCGTTAGGTTATTAATCATAAGGGACTCTAGAACGAAAGTATGTAATTTTAATATGTTTTATTTATGTTGAGTATTCTAAAGATGAGTACAAATACATGGAATACATGTGTTGCAGATCTTAGTATTAACGAGGGCAGTCCCTGTTGCGACGGTGAACAGGCTGTAATTGCACACATGATCTTCGTATATCAACAGTAACTAATACTCATACTAATGAACTAATTGATTTCAATTATAACAGTTTACTACACACAGTGTATCGTTAAAAATAGGTTTCAGGTTGCTAAAAGGTGTGCAATAGTAAATATCTCACCGAAGCGTTTCCCAGTCACTCACACAATTCATATCGACTCGATCCATTTACAAAATGAGAGACATCAGAAGATCGGATCATCCATACCGCATTGATAACAACGTAATTAATCAAATTGAAAGTTTCTTTTATGTTCATACTTCGTTAAACACTCTTCCGTGAAACAAGACTTAATTATTACAATTCGGAGATTCTTAGATATCTATAATATTGAAGAAACGAGTAACGCACAAACTTACATCGTGATGACAATGAGAAGTTACCGAACATGAGAAGTAGTACAAAACACCCAACGCATATGTCTAGCTGATACAGTGTCAAAAAGTTCGAGTGGTTCGGTCTTATCGCCACAACCTAGGATTTCATGGTTTCCGTAAGGACTTTACAATATCTTCTCGAAGTATGCCCCTAAAGGGACTTTCTTTTCATCTTATGACAGCAGTCCTCGTAATACATTTTCATTGTTAACACTTAGCCTATACGATAATCGCCCGTTGTTTTAGTTTCATCTACATCTATACTTTCCTCTACATTATGCTACATGGAACGCTCGTGCTGGTGTCACCTTGAAATGCTTACAGGTATTTGATACAAATGCGTTATGACTATACATGGGTTTTCCTTCAAAGTGCCTTGTAGGCGGTGTCAAGAAAGTGGTTCACGAGTCGTGTTTGGTAGAAATAGGCACAGCATACCTCCTCCTGAAAATAAAATCCAAGGTTTAAATGCGACTCTATCCAGAGTAGGTAAATGATGCGGATGAGAATAATAATTACAGTAATTAAAATTAAATTAATTGAAGTAATAATAAATTACCGATAAGAAGAGCAGCGACGATGAACGTGGGGGCAGGACAATACATGTCTAGAAGTTGTGCTATGACGATGTTGCCGATGATCCCTCCAAGTCTCGCAGCTACCATGGAAATGGCGATGCCGGTAGCTCGAAGATTAGTAGGGAAGACCTCGGTAATCAGACAATCCAAGGCAGCGTTACCGCAGCTAATCACGCCACTGAAAACGGCCGACACGACCAGATTTTGGACCTTATTGTACACGAAGTAGAGACCAACGGAGCAGAGTCCGGAAGATAAGGTACTGAAAACTGAGAGAAGCCAATGATTTTCACATCTGCTTAATTGATACGACGAGACCTCTTTGTCGTCCCTTTGACATCATCTTAAGATTTCGAGAAGCACGTACCGAGGAAGAACTTGCGACCGAGTCGGTCCATTCCAAGAACGGCGACGATGTTGGCGGGAATGGCGGATGCTACGGTGATAAGGGACTCCATGAAGACCGAGGCCCCGATCCTGTTGGAGCAGACATTTTCTACGCTATGAGATCCACGATTGACCACGTAATCGGTGACCTCGCAGATCGAAGTCGGCTGGCCAGGGTGGTCGCGATGGAATTCGTCGAAGCGGTTGAAGAGCTCCGGGAACCACATCATCAGGCCGTAGTAACCGATGTGGAAAGTGAAGTTGATGATGATAGAGATGACGGTGAAACGCAAAATCGGCGAGACAAAGAGCTGTTTGCTGTTGTCCATGATGTCGCCGAGCATGATCTTGTACTTGTTCTTCTCCACGGCACCTGGCTTCACCGGTTCCAAGACTTGGAAGTCGTCGAGGATTAGTTGCTTTACCTGGGTAACGAGCCGTCACTTGTTATAATTATCCGTACGGAAATTAAATTTTGCTCCTGTATTTTTTTAACTCACCATGTAGGTATCTTGAGGTTTGCCAGTGTTAATGGCGTAAATTCCGCGGAAGATACTGAGGGCTTCGTCATATCTACCGCGGGATAGGAGATACTTGGGGGATTCAGGGAGCAGCAGGAGCAGCCCCGCCACGATGAACGAAGGAGCAGCGCAAATCAGCAGGAAGATTCGCCAAGAGTTGTATGTGAACGAGACGCTCGAGATACCGATGTCGTGAGGGATGATCAACCACGCCAAGCCTGAGGAGTAGAACGATTAAATAGATATAGAAAAATTAAAACTAAATAGTGCTGAATATTCCTGGGCCAAGTACCTACCAGCCACGAAGAGGTTCCCCAGGGTCCAGAATGCAGCCATGAAGGACAGCATGGAGCCGCGCTTGGATTTTGGCTGGAACTCCGCAAAGTAGGACCAGATGACGGGTCCACTGCCTCCAAGACTAAGTAAAAAATTCGGAGAAAATCTTTATTAACAAGCAATCTCACTTTCGCGCAATCTTAATGTTGATTTAAAGGGCACTTACGCGGCTCCATTGAGGAACCTGAAGAACATGAAGAGTTCGTAGGACTGGCTGAAGCTAGAGGCCACGATGCAGAGGGCGTTCATGAAGGAGATGGCGATGAGCACCTTGCGGCGACCCAGGGCATCCGCCACCGAGCCCCACGCGTATGCTCCCGCCATCATCCCGATGAAGATGATGGAGTTGAGCCATCCCTTGGCTTGGGTATCGAGCTTCAGGTCACATTGTGCACTCGGCAAGATAAAGGACATGGAAATTACGTCCATCTCCTCGCTCGTGCTGACGAACCCGCAGACCGCCAGTAGGAAGTAGTGGAACTTGCCATATTCTACGCGGTCCAGAGATAGGGAGAGACTCCATCAGTAAAACATGAAATATTTTTAAGTGAGACTTGGGTATAACTATCAATAATTGTCGAAGAATGACAATCGCGTCGATTTCTAATTGTCAAGCGAACCGCATCGCTTCCTGATCCCCAGGAACGTGAGCCTCTTTTTGCCCTTCTAAACTACCTCTAATTATGCTTAATGGCAATTACTGATAGTCCAGATGACTAATTGGGGCGAAATCCTGAAACGGCTCAGGTGTAACGAGAACGACAACTGTAAGGACACTTTGTGCAATCGACCGTTCAAATCGGCACGAAGAAGTGCCGTGCTTGCGAGTTAGCGGTCGGGCCAGAAGTGTTAATTAACCGTTCGAAGGGTCTAATTGCGAGGTCCAGCGCATTTGTTTATCGTTTTCATGACGACTGACGTTATCAGGTCGACTAGGCGATGCCTAGTACCGGATCCCGTAGTCGATCGGTTATCGAACAGCCGAGATGCGTTCCTCACCGGTAAGTTCGATGGCCCTCTCGAAGTCGGCTTTAATGTACGATCCTTTTTCGGGGTCTAGGGTTTTGCCCTTTGACCCAACACCTGGAAATGAAATTTCATTATTCGATGGAACGTCTTATGTATCGTTAAAAAATTATTTCCTTCATCTTCGAGGTCGATCGAATTTGTGAAAGATTCATTTTTATTTAATTCTACCCACCGGCAAGTTCTAGGTCCTTTGAACCGCAGCCGTTTAGACGATCGTCCTTTACATCACACTCTGGAATCGAAAGGAAAAAAGGGTTTACCCAGGCGCAGGAGAGTATCTCTGCTCTCCTGTTGGACGAGCCACCGAAAATGCATGCCGAGGGCACCGAAAATGAGTCGGGATTTAAAAATATCTTCACATCCTCCACCGAAATCCGGCGGCAAGGTGAGACCTTTGCGTCACGAAAGAATAAATTTAGAGGAATCGGTTCGTACCGGTTAACATCCGTCAGGACCGGTTAGAGTAAGGACAGGTCTGAAAGAATTATGTTATGCCCTCTTTTTTCTTATGAAAAGTTCTGCGCCGAAGTAACATCGTTAGCCGTACATTTTTTTTTTTTCTTTTCCCAGCTCGAGCAAGGACGGGAGATTCGACAGAGGACTTCGATATATAAACCAGGTAAACGGTGGGAAATATTATTAGAGAGCCGTGCCCTTCGGGCGCGGAAACTCCGCAGAGAATGGTCCTCGTTGGAATTATCCAGGAAGGACGAAACGATTCGGTTCGTACCCAGAAAACCACTCGGCATGTATTTCCAGGACTCTCGAGAATTTTTTCCCTATACTAGAATATACCTAGGAATATGGAGAGAAAAAAATAGAAACATCAGTTTAAGCCTTTTTTTTTCAACAGGTGGGTACTCACTATTGTCGTGCTTTGAGTCGGGTTCACCTTCTACCATTCTACGATGTCGGCGCGGTTGGGGGAATCTGGCTTGTGGAAGGAGCAGTCAGAGGAGGTGTCTTCTCGTCGGGCAAACCTGGTCGGGGATGTCCTGGGCGAAGGATTCTCGAAGAATGTCCTGGCGATGTCTTCCTGCTGATTCGGCGCTGCTCTTCTGCTGCTCGGCGGCGGGGCTAGGTTCTGCGCTCACTCGCAAGCTGCAAAAAATCGAGGAGTCAGCTTTCTCGACTCTGGCGGTAGTTAAAGGCTCCTTGGGAAGTTCTTTTTTGGCCCTCGTGAGTCCCTGGACCTCGCCTTCCCTCGGGACCTTTGAGAGTTTCGAGACGCGTCCTGAAGACGTCTGTCGGCGCGGCCTGCGCGGAACGGCGCGCGATCTTTCGTCATTTTTAAATTTAAGTCAACGCTAGAGAGGTGGATCGCAGTCGGGTGCATTGAATCAATACGTAAAGGGTTAAACAGGGTCAATTTGGAATAACTCCGATAACGGGCTGCACTCGGCGTTGCGAGTTCGAGTCCGAGATGCGCTCCCTGGAGCGAGATGCGCTCGCACGTTTTCTTCTAATTATTCCCATAAAAATTAAATTTATAGTATACACGAATTTTCTTACATTTTTTAAATTACTTCATAAATGATCAATTCGAGTTTCTACGCGATTTTGAGATATAGATTAGAAAAGGTATGGATTTTTTTGGGACGTTTGCTTTGAGGAACTTTAGCTGAGACATTTGGATCGATCGTTAGCCAAGTGAAAATTTAATGAAAATCCAGAGTCGTTCGTTCCACGGTTCCGATCGCAAGGACGTAATCCATATGTGTACTTAGAGTATACATATGCATGCCGCGCTGTTAAACTCGTTACACAATTGGGCATGTAACGAGGAAAGGAAAATAATGATCTTCGGCCAATAAGAAGCGACCGCGCACCACCTAGCTCCAAAATCATTAGCGCAATTGGACTTAAATCTCCTGTGCTCCTTATGCACTCCATTGTGTAACCCACGTTGTACGTATACCACAAGGGGATGCCGTACGTGAAGCATATGCGTGTACACGTGAACTACGACGGTAATGGACGCAATTTAGTCATCGAAGCTGCGATCAACAGCTGCGAGCGGATAGCGAACCTTGAAGAGGGCATCGTCATGGATGGAAAACTTGAGCCATGGACGTTCTTCGGGGTCGGTCCTTAAAACCTTCAACCAGGATTAAGAACACCATCTTAAGATCTTCAGACCGTGGAAGATCATCGAAAAAAGGGATCTAACAATGGACAAAGAAGACTGCACTAAGCTTATTTGAATTTATCGCTCATCGATAAGCGAACCGATATCGTACAAAAAGATAATGAGGAGTAATACTACAAATTAAATTATGTAAATCGGGAAATAATTTCCATATTGAGAAAAACCATAATTTCAACAGAGCGAAATAAAATGCCGCAAGGAAGATATACCTACATAGGTAATTGAAGTTAATTAAAAAATTCTGGGTTTCTATTATGGCGAGCAATAATAAATACGTGGAATATTAAATATTCTGTCGACGGGATTTATAAATTCATGAATTTTCTCATTAGAAATTCAAGCTCTGGGATTTAGAGGGGAGTGTTCATTTCCCGAATTTTTAGACTGAAGTTTTGCAATACAAGTTATTAATAACAATGCAGGATTGATTTTTAAATGCGCGGAAGAGCCGTAGTAGGTGCCGGACGAGGTGTGCAAGGTTTCGGTGAAAAAAAAAAAAACCTTTTCGACCGTGACAGGACTCGAACCTGCAATCTTCGGATCCGAAGTCCGACGCCTTATCCGTTAGGCCACACGGTCGGTTGAGGGTAGTTTTCTATGGCTCGCATTTCACGTCCATTCCGCTGGAACCCTTATTGATTCTCCTCGCTATGGACCAATGGCGTCGCAGCATCCGACTCTGTCCACCAATCGCGTTTCTGGAAGCTTACGTGGTCGATTCGACGCTTTATCTCGCAAAAATGCACGCCTCGCTGTCAACACTGCCACATTAAATTCCCATACTACCATAAGTTCTTCTAACTCTCTTGAGAATAATTTTCCAAGAGATACGTGCTTTCAAATTTTCCGCCCAAGATGGAGCCCGCGCATGCGCGACAACAGTTCGAACCGTCGTGGTTCAAATCAAACCACCGGCAGAAAATGGTGAGAAATTTATGACATTCTTCTTGAGAATATTAGAAAAGGACGTTTAATAAGAAACCGTTAACACTGGTCGAGTTGTTAGAGTTTAAGAGCTTGTTTATTTTGGATGGATCGATCGCGTTGGTCGATCATTCGACTATTATCGAAACGATCGATGACCTTCTTATCGCGAGGACGAGTCGTTAGTCGTCAGGGTTAATGTCGAGTGCCGGTCGAAACGAGCCCGCTCTCTTTCCCACCAACCGATCCAGATATCCGCTTCCATTGTCGCGTAATAACAGTCCCTGAAAGCTCAACGACATAATGGTAATTGGTAGGAAGGCGTGCGACGTTTTGAGGCTGTTCCAGAAAACCAACGACGACATTAATGGATCTCGACGGACATCCTGCACTAAATACGCGCTAACTGGCCGGCATCATGCTCCAATTTACGCGCGATGCCTTTAATATTCAGGAAAATTTCCGTTTTCTCAGGATTAACCGTTTAATCGAGGATCGTCCGGGGACACGTGGAAATCTGCGGTACAGGGGTGAGTCTGCGATTAATTACCGACACGCTCTGCGGCGTTTATATCGCCTCGCTGAATTAATCACCATTAATGGCTGACGATTATTTCAACAGAAAGTATGGCCGGCATTCGGCCTCGTATGCAAAGCAGCCGCGATACAAGTCTCGGCAGAATTATCCGTGATTGTGCGAGGTCAATTACCAGGCATTAATCGCCCGCCGAGTAATTCTGGAATCGGGTTGAACGATCGACAAACGATCGGCGTGCCCACGCGCTGATTTACCGAGGTCGACAATCGGCACCCGAGGGTGTCCCATTTTCGAAGAGGCTTTGCCCCTGGCAGGAGAGGACGACCTTCGATATCATTTCCACGTTTTCAAAGGAGGACTGCTTCGGAGGAATCTCGTACGGAACATTCGGAAACGAGGAACGTCTGGAAGGTGACTTTGACATTGGCCTCACATTTTTTTTATGCCGCTCTTAACGACATCTTCGCGATCCTAGAAGCTGGCGTTTTAAGAGCCGCGTTTATATTCATTGCCGATTACCTAAACGCACGTAACACTGGCCAATTTTGAGCAACCTTTATTTCGAGGTTTTATTCATTTTTAATCGGTTCCTCGGAAAGCTCTTTCGGGAATTCGTCGATTTCGCTTCTGCCCGAGTGTACAATTTTCCTTTTTTTGATTTAATAACAAACGAGGCATTTACCTCGCGGGACTTGCTTTATTATTATTTTTTTAGCATTCGGAAATGTACGATATTTCCTTCCACCGCCAGTTACTTCGCCTCCGCGATCTGCCCTATTGTTACGACATTTCGAACCGCGATTCGGAACGCGACGGACACGTAACACATCCGTTCTTTAGAAACTGTTATTAACGCGTTCGATGGACTCGGTTTTGTGTCTCATTTTCACCGGCGAGGGCGTTTCTGGACTTACTTTTGCCCCTGGAGAAAATTCGACACGCCAGCAAGCAGGAAATGAAAAAAGAGCCACGCGCGGAATATGCGTTTCCCGTCCCTCCTGCGATTTGTTAAATGAATAATCAATCGGATGCATATTTATAAGGTCGGATACTGCAGTGTCAATCCCGCTGCGACAATTGCAAGCAGCGGGCAATTATGCGCAAATTGAATAACTACATATCGCGCCGACGTGTCCCCATAATCCGCACATTCTCCCATGATTAACGCGCGTAACCGTTACATGCATAGTTCAGCCGGGGTGTAAACTATTGCCCCTGTGTCAATGCATCATGCTCAAAGCAATGGGAGCCAGGGAACGGATATGCACATGCATCTGCAGCCATTCCCGACGACGCGAGACGAGGTTTGCCTTGTCGATCGAATCGATTGTACGTTAATATTTATTCACACGTCTCTATTAAGCGCAATACTCGCCCCCCGAGCTGTACGGGCGGTATTAACGATGTAACGCGCACGTTGTAGAAACGTGGTCCAATTGGCCGTGAATGTGACACTGTAAAATATTAATTCGCATTAAAGAGCCGACCCAAGTGCAGTTACGCCATATCAGGGTAATTCGAATCAGGGAGATTCCATGTTGCGCCGATAAAAATGAGATTAACCGCGTTGAAATTAATTCCGCGTTAAGTAATCCTTGATTAAGAATTTTAACTTGAACATTGGGGTAACCGGTGAAAAAAAAAAAATTGAACTCGTCGCGACATTCGATCAGCGATCTGCCTCTTTCGGAGTTTCGAGGGAAAGAGAGAGAAGCACCGAAGCGAAGCCGGAAGTAGGAAGGTCGCAGTTGCAGGAAGCGAGGATTCGATTGTGCACTCGTATCCTTCGCATGCCTCGGTACGTGAGTGCAGTTTGTAAAAAATCAGGTCGAGTGCAACGAGTTTTCGAGCCAGGACCTGGCTGCAGCTTCGCGTTTGGTGCTGGGTGATCGATCCGCCCGGGGATCCTAAAAGTCAAGCAATTATTGCCGATCGATCGCTGATCGATATATCGTTGCACGTGTTCGTTTCTCTGTTCTTATGTTTACATCGTGTTACAGATACGGCGGTCTCGGGGGGTTCCGAAGCGACCCATTTTGCTCGAGTCTGCGGAAGTGCACTCGCAAGAGATCCATCGTGCTCCAAGTGGGAATAAGGCCGAGCTGCTTGGTCCAACAATGGCGAAGTCGACGCCGAGAGTAAGGCAAGTAAAGCGGTTTATAATTATCAGCCAGTCTTCCAAGGACGTAGTAATCAGTCCCATTGAAGGCGAATTTGTCCAGGGAGAGAGAATGGCCCCGCTGGAGTGACCGCAGCGGTGTCATCACGCTCGTTAGACCCGGATTGATGCGCAAACGCGTTGTCTTAACTCGGCTCGTGACACGTGACACCCGCTGCATGCGAATGCACGAGATGCACTCTAGTGCCGAAACGAAATATCGGGAACTCTTGGGAAAATGTCGCGAATTCTGGAGAAAATGACGCGATTCACGAGAAAATGACGCGAACACGTGAAAAAAAAAAAAAAGGCACGAGTTAAACGCGAGAAATATTTCTTAATGAGAAATCCCGTTTTTTACGCTGCGTCTACGTTGCGACTTTTTCTGCGTTCTGACGTGCGGTCGGATCGAGAGCGATTAATCCGTAACTGGGTTCCGTTCGCGGTAAAGCATTAGAAGCTAGCCAGCAATGGAAGATCGTCTAATGGCTCGTTAGACAATTACCCATAGTAATAGTGAAATTAGCACAGAGGCTGTTAAACAAGCTCAATGGAGCGTGGTCGAGTGAGAACGAATCGAGGCTTGCGATTCGATTCTTAAAAATCGGGGAAACCACGTTGGAGAAATATTTAGTAGGGTATTGTTTTCGCATAGAAAATGTCACTGATCCGCAATCTTGTGGTCGGTTTAAATTTTAGAGGGGTGTCATTGATTATTAAGGATAATAAAGGATTAAAGGAAAAATCTAATCGGGGCGATACGACATTTAATTTCCTTCCAAATATTATAGTACTTACTGCTTTATCGAAGAGTGGAAAGCGAACGAGGATGACGTAAAATCGAAGTTACCGGATAAACGAGTCAACTGGTCCAGAAAGATCGTTCACTGTTTATAAGTATCGTCCAAACGATCGAGGAGTCTCTCATAAAATTCTCGAACATGAGAATTCCGCGACGCCCTCGAGTCAGCGTTGACAATCAGCTGATCGCTGTCAAATCGACGCCGGGGTCTTTCCCGGAAAGACTGGAAAGTTCTTCTATTAAAACTCGCCGCGAACCGGAAAATGAGGATCGAGGTAGTTAGCTCGTAGCCGTCCCCTCGGGAAATCGGGAAAAATTGATGAATTATCCTCCGAAAAGCCGTCGAAAATGGAAATTCGGCTCAAAGTCTGCGATCGTGCACTTCACTTATCTCCCGGTCTCGACGTCTGTCTTTGATCGGCCGCGATTAACTGGCGGACTTTTCCGATTTCCAGTGAACGCGTTTCCTCGCGATTAGTACTTATCGAATCCCGATTAGCGTGTCGCCTTTGCGCGGAATGTACACTTTGCGCCGGTATTTGGAGCCTGATCTGCAAGAGACGGTGAGTCGAGATGAAGTGACCGAGTCGGATCGCCGAAGCAACTAAAAGCTACCTGCCACCTCCCACTAACTATCATCTGGCCGACTGTGTACTCTTATGTGCAACTGACAGTACTGGCGATAGGAGAGGTGACAATACCCTCTGTACACTGTTAGCTTGCGCGGGGAGGAGCGGACGCTCCTCCCTCCAGTCAACTCTCCTCGGGCGGTCACGTGGATTTCACAATTTTTTTTTTTCAAGCAGATCTACGTTTTTCCAAAATTTTCAATGTTACGAAAAGTGTAATTACCATGAAAATGTGCAAGTGCTCGATATTTAGGGCGCCCAAGAAAATGCTTATCGGACATGAACATTTAATAGAAACTCCCCATACAAGGGATGTACCAATTAGGCGGTAGAATGTTACCGGAGATGGCAGTGAACTAATTCAGACATTGTCATTCGACGATGCTCGAGATTGACTCTCGTACGGAGGAGCGCGCGGTTAATCGGAACTTCCGGTCCAAGGAAGTGACGGAAGTCACGCTTCCGTGTAAAATAAAATTCCGCGGTCGCAATAACTGAGATTAAAAAATTCCCCCAGAGGATCGATTTCGAGTTGAAGAAAAAAAATCGATCGCACGATTCTTCGGGAATTTCTTCCGCGTCCGCGTCATGTGAACCGCGTACGGAAAATGAGTTTTCCCACAATTGTTTACGGCTGTTGAAGATACGAGCGATCGACGAGCAGAGGATCGGAAAACGAGGTCGAAATCATTAGCTCCTCCGGAGAACACATCAGGCATGATCTAGACTAAATGAAGCTCCTCCATGTTCGAGTAGATCTCTTCGATAAGCGACTTAGGATATCTAAAATCCATCGATCCGATAAATCCAATTCCACGTCAAAAGTTGACAGGGAAAGTGGTATAGAGTCTGCAGGATCCTTGGACCTCAAGGATCGTTTCGCGAAGCGAAAACAATGCTCACGGCCGCCAATGAGTTCATTCCACATTCATAGGCACTGATAAGCGATCTCACGAAAAGGAGCTCCGATAACGGGGGAAAAATCTTGAAAAATGGAGTCCGGTGTCGCGGGATCTTGGCCTTGGAATATTTTGCGACCTTGAAGAGGCGAAGAGGAATGGGCATTTAGATGGAATAGAGGGTTTAAGGTGTAATTGGGTTAATTTAACGTAGGGCTAAAATTTTAATTCTCGAAGTGGTCACTTCCATTTTCGTGTATGACATGTCGAATTGTACAGTCGGTGATTTTAGATTAGTGGGTTCCGTGACAATTTGTCATGCGATTGTCTTCGCCTGCGTCAGGGGAACGTGTAAGCAGTGACTAAACACGGTAAACGCGAACTTTCGATAGTTCCGAGCAAAGTTCGTATTATCGCTCGGAGGAGCTCCTTTATCAGGGCTTATAGAGGACTCCTCGTGTTTGCGGTGAACAAATTAACAAATCGACCGAGGTATTACGTATGACGAAGAGACACGGGTTGGGCGACTATTTGTCGCTATTAAAACTGGTAGCAGCTCCCCGAACGATCCGACCTCCTTTTGCTTAGGCTTCCTTTTAGCTCCGGTTTCTCGGCTCGAAGAATCGAGGCGCCAGAAAATGTAAAAAAATCCCATAAATTATTACAAAATGCCCCGAAATATTATAAAATATTTTAAACCATCCTAAACGATCCCCTCGCTTAGAATTCCAGGATTACGTAGCAAAAAGTCGAACAGGATCCGGGGGAAAAAAAATGGAATAAAATCGCACGTCGCCGGAGGGTCCTGGTTTCCTTGACCTCTTGAAATGCTCGCGAAAGGAGAGGAGAATCGCGAGAGAAACAGCGGCGAAAACAAGTCGCAAAACATCTCTTAGCCTCGAAAAAGAGGCACCAAGTGGTATCAAAACTCGCGTCGAGCGACAATTAATTGTCACGTCGATCGAGCTCGTTCAACTCCGAGGATGAGCCACGCGCGATCTCGAAGCGCCTTTAAGCGGATCTAACCAGCGAACTCCGAGAATAAATTGTCTCTCTTTGCGAGGAGAGAGAACCCTCGTCAGATTCGCCGAAGCTGCGAGCGAGGACGAGCCTGCTCTTACGTGAAAAAAATCAGACCGCTGACGGTGAAGGAAGTGAGAAACGGAAAATATTGGAAGTTCCTTCCGCGGGGTTCACTAAACGCGAACGTATTGACTTAGGTCACGCTCTCGTGGCCCGAACATCGAAGGCTGGTATATGTGTAATACCTGGCCAGGTATTTTCCTATAATTAAGGGGCCTACGCAAGTCACTCAAGACGGTGTCACAATTTAATTCGGATCTCAGCTGCGTACGACACGGAAAACAGCTGTTCCAACTCCGGAATTTCACGTGCGATTAAATCCCCATTGAATCGGACATACCAGGACACGCACGCACACACGCACACACACATTAATTATCACGACGATGCGGTACTAATGATTAGAGCAATAGATTCGACGTGAAATATTATTTATGAAAATAAATTAATAAATGTCCATCGGAGGGCGCACTCCGCAATGGCTGCAGAGAAAAGTCGTCACTTGATCGTCATTGACAAGACACTATGGTAAATTCTGTACGACGAATTTGTTGAAATTTATCTTTATATGTGGATTTTTAAATTTCGCGATAATCGGCACGAGGAGTGTCACAATTCCGGCGTCCTCTTCTTCGGGAGTCGAAATCCGGGAATTTTCCTCTCGGAGGAGCGACTTGGAGTTGTTTTCCGATGGATTTGCGGGCAGTATTTTACTGGAGGGTTTAAATTACGTAATTGGGCTTAATTACGGAAAGCTTTGGGACTTACGGTGTGCGGCTTGCCAAGTCTTGGAAAAGTTGCCCGTGCCGGGTACAACGGAACCGCGTGCCGAAAGCTCGATGCTTATATACATCTTACAGCTGCGGTCCATCCCCTCCACCGGGCTAAAACATGTCGGCAGAAGATAGAAGCACTCAGGAGGCAACAAATCAAACGACATCCTTTCGTATTACGGGAGCACGAAATAATTGCCGACGAGGAAAGCCCTGCGCACACTCCGCGCCGGTTGCGTAGGTTCAGGAACGGCCTTAAAAGCGTCCTCCAGCCACGTGCGACTTCGAGATACAATTACGCGATTTACCCGTCACTCGAGACACTTGAAACAACGTTACCCACCTTTCTCCACTTCGATTCTACCTTAGAAAATTTTTACAGAATTTTTCGCCGACCTTAAAGTTCATTAAAATCCCAATTCTCAAGGTTGTGTGTTCTAGCGCATTGTATCGAATAAATCGGAAAATGTGCGCGAACAAAGCGTGGTATAGAAAAATGGGTCGTACAAAAGTTACGCGTAATTGTGTGTCCGATGACTTTTGTTTGAGGAATTTTTCGGTGTTATGTCTCGTTGGGACGGAAAGTGGGATGTAAACCTTGGGGGAGTACTATTCCACGGGTTAATCCTAACCGCGACTCCTGAAGATACGGCGGAGGAAGTTAGGAATTCTACAAGAAGGTGATCGTATGAGTTTGTACATGAAACCTCTAAGAAGGTACGTGAATTACCTTCCACATGATTGTTTGCTCGAGGAGTTAGAGCCGAGATAGTGATACTTATTTTGAGAGTGCCGCACATACCTACAATTACCGGGAATGAAACGCGAAACGCGTTCGCGACCTTTCGATAAGTCGATTCGGGGGGACTCGGTAGTATTTATGACACTTACCAAAATCATTAATCCTAGAATTATTCTGGACCTTACTCGTCAATTGAAATTTCTCCCGAATCATTTCTTTTAATATGCGCGTCGAGCGAACGGTCGGCGAAAGCGCAGATGCGGAGGCGCGAGTAAAGTCTAAATTAATAGAAATGTTTGTCAGCCTAATTGTCGCGTCAATTACAACGGAAACGATCGGCATTACTCCAATCGCGTCTCCTCCGCGTCCCGAGACGAAGATCGTCCCGATGGGGCCCAAGCTGTGAGAATTGGAGCACGTTGATAGTCGCATCGTCCACCCGTCGTCCCCCATATCACGATTGTAGAGTCGGAAATAAATTAGAAAAAAAAGAGTAGAATCTATAATAAAATACTCAAAAGTTCGGCGTGCCGTAGAAGACGCCTCATGAATGACATAAACTAGAGCACGTAGCGTCTGTTTGCGCAGCTGTAAATCCACGTGAACGCGCAATACGCGTCCATGTACTCGTTCGTGTACGTTAATTTGCGTACATGTCCGCGATGGCTGCCGACCCGACGGAGGGTGGAAAATTGCGAAATGGACGTCGGGCGTAACTCCCACTTTCCCGACCAAGACCCCAAGACTCGGGAGAAGGTGTCCGGATTCTTCCGGGTCCTTTGACGAGGCGTTCCTTTGCGACTCATCGAAGGGAGGGGTTCGCTCCCGATCGATTCGTCCCAGGACGTCCATGGACCTCCAGGACGCCCAATGAAAAGGCCGACGTCCTGGCGCCCGGCGTTCCGGCAAATCGCATTATTCCGCTCGACCTAAGGAGCCGTTCCTGTGGACACCAGGCTGGCAAAATCGCGAGGAGGTCGCCGTCTCGTCCTGGAGGCTGCCCGGCACTTCTGAGGTCCTGGACCGACCTCCCTACGAGAATCCTTGCCGATGGACCGGGAAATTCCCGCGATATGAATTTTTCCTCCGCACTGGGTGTTCCGAATCCTTTCAAACCCTACAACGTGAATATCGATGCTTCGGAAAGATCCTGACACCCAGCTTCCAATTTTTATTTTTAATCATCCTTATCATGGATTTGTATAAATGGAGCAAGGATCTCTTTATGAGAGCCACGAGGGGCGAATCGCTGTAGGAGTCGCGAATCGGTTGGAAAGTCGCGCGCTCGCGCGGAGGCTCGCGAATCGTCCTCTCGCTCGGTCGGTAAGCCAGGGCCCTTCCATCCCGCGAAGGACTCGCCGAGATACACACACGCTTGCGCAACTCGCGAGTGCGCGGATACGCTCGCCCGCGAATCGCGTGAGTCACCCGGTTGACGTCAGCCGCGTGTGCGCGGGGCAATCGACCG